GAGTTCCGCCTTTTGCATGACTGCTTCGACGAGGGCTTTGAAAGCATCTTCGATCATATTAATATGGAGCTGGGCATCGCGGTAGGAGCAGAGCTTCGCGCTCTCTGTTAGAGGCATTTGCATGGTGGTAACACCGAGGGAGGACTGCGAGTGGAGGCTGCGGCCGGTGTTCATCAGAATGTTGACGCAGTCGTCCGCTAGAATGGGAAACGTTTCGACGAACCGCACCATGGCGGGCAGCACGTGCCGCAGGAATTTGCATTTGGCCGATGCGGTGAGCAGCGAGAGCGTCGTCTGTATAACATTCAGACAGAACTTGGAGACGCCCAAGCTTTTGGGTATCGAATAGTTCAGGACCAGGTGTGACGTCAGCTCGATGGTGAAGATCTGTTTGTCCATTTCGGTGACGTTGAGGAATTCGTGCACGAAGTCAATGCAAATGTGCATCGAGGGCACGCTGGCCACGATCATCGGTATGACGGACTTGGGATACGTCTGGAAGTGCACCAGCTTGGCCAGCGACGGCTCCGTTATGAACGCCTGATGCACGTACGTGCCAATGATGCCCTGCAGCTCGCGCAGCTCCAGCTTCGCCACACGCGTGTCCGCCTTGCTGTCCATATAGTCCAGCACCTCGAGCAGTATGTGAACGGCCGCACTCTCCTGCGATGCAATCAGCGTCGTCTTCAGCTCCTCCCTGTCCGCGTCCGTTTGCACCAGTCCATTCTTGTCCAGCACCTGTTTCTGTTGCATGTGCACGTTTAGATAGGTCTTCGACGCAGCCAGGCTGCCCTTCAGAATTCGCAGCAGGATGACCAACATGTACGGGGAGCAGAACACCTCGCGTGAACATCTGCAGAGAAGAGATGGGATGAGGCAATTAATGGAAACTTTAGCTGGCCTATGGTGTATAATGGAGGGAGTAGCTAGTGGTAAAGGGGGCAAGGGTAAAGAGAAAGAAGGGGATAATAGGCATTTACAGTGGAAGTATGACAATATACGTATATAGAACTATTACATTGGACAATATTAGCTACAGTAGAACAAGGAATTTGGGAGAGAAAGGGATAGAGAATGGAAATATAATGGGTATTTATAGTGGGCACGGAAACGAAGAGAGAGGCCGAACAAATAGGGAAAGGGATAGAGGGGAAATGCTAAGTAATCTATATATACTATAGTAAGATCTTGCTGGCTTTTATAGGGTATATAGAGCATATAAGCTTAAGTAGAGTTAAGAGGCAGAGACAGAGAGAGAGAGAGAGAGAGAGAGAGAGAGAGAGAGAGATCTACGGGCATAGTCCATCCCATTTCAATAGCTTTTCAAGCTAAGCGACCTCGACTTAAAATATACAGGGTATCTTATGGTATGTATATAAATCACAAGTAATCTTGTTAAGCCGGCAATGCAAGACTCTATACATCAGACAGAGAAGGAGAGAAATTCATAGTGAGAGAGAGAGAGAGAGAGAGAGAGAGAGGAAGAAGTGAAAGTAAATGCAGTTACTGTTATATAAAAAGCATCTCTCACTCGTCTCACCCATCACACTTCACTCCGCTCCAACTAATAGGTATCTATAGTCTGGTCAACTCTGTAAGGGTTGCACTTCAAGATCTCCCTGAAGCACACATGAGAAAAGAACGGAAATATGGAGAGTCAGAGAGAGAGAGAAAGAGATTGTGATGCAATGCTCGAAAACCTTTTCGTCCGATCTCAACATACCCTAATACATCCATGGGCTCCAGCAGGCTCTCATTGGCAAAGGTGCGTCGATTGAGTGCATCCGAATTGTTGGTGATGGCGCGCAGCGACATGATCCAGAAGGTGGTGGGCAGCACGGCATTCAATCTCAGCCAGAGATCGTTATACAGGTCCTTGACATAGCGCGGCACATCCTTGCGAAAGACGTGCGGCAGATGCTGTACCAGCTGATGGGCATGTTGAGCTAACGCCTCCGGGGGCAGCTGCAGCAGACGCTTGAACAGGCGAATGGCCAGCCGTGGCTTCGTCTGGATATTTTTGAGGGCGCGCGTCAACAGCTCCGGCCTGAGATCGTACCCTTGATGGTGATCCAGGTCGATGGCTGTGGCCAAATAGTGCTCCTCCAGCCAATCGTCGACCATGCTCAAGTGCGGGTAGTTGGATATGATGAGCCGCAGCAACGGATGGAAAAGGGAGAGATAGTCATTGTGATACTGATGCGCCTTCTGCAGCAAGTACTTCAATGGCAGACCGCCAAGGAAATTGTTCGTGTACTCCTTCTGTTTGCGTCCGCCCAATGCGCTCTGGTTCATCAGCCGGGTGTCCTCGTACAGCATCAGATAGTAGATCATCAGCAGCTGCGAGGTGAGCGGACACGCCACCTCCACCTGGTTGAGCTCCTCGTTGGCGATCGTCGGCTGCAGCTCCTCGGCAAAGAAGGTGAGCGGCGAGGTGCGAAAGACGTGCAGAATCTCCTGTTCGGTGAACGGTCGATGCATGTGATCAATGCTGATCTTCCCCGTAGGATTCGGTATGATCAGCGTGTTAACGAAGACCTCAACTAATGCGGGCATCACCGGATGCACGGGCCGCACCGAGCTGCATATTTGCTTGAAGATCCACGATTTGATTGGAACTTTATGCTTGAGGAAGGTCCGCGATTTGAGCAGTTGATGTATGCAGTGGACTGGCAAATATCCCGGAATTGTGCCATTCAGATTGGGTGTCACGGGCACGCGAACAGCATGCAATGCCACCACCTGCTCCGTGAACAGATCCTGTGTAAACAGCTGCTTGATGCGGTTCGTACTGTTGGGCCGGATCGGTATCTTCATGGCGAGCGTGGAGCAGACCATTTCACTGATGGCCGTTATCTGATTGCTGTGAAAGTGTATGGCCAACAGGAGCAGCATCTCGCCCAAGGAGCTGCTCGTGCCCGAGCGCTTGCAGAAGAACGCATTCTCGCGAATGAGCCACTGCAGCCACTCCACAGCCTTGTTCTCCAGCGGAATCGTCGATACTAGCGACGGACAGGCTATCAGCATGCAGAGCGCCAGTGTGACAAACCGCACACCCGACGCCGTCGGCTGTGGGCAACTGGTGACCAGCTGGGACAATGCATTGATCTCATCGTCATTGAACTTTAGTCCTCCGATTCCTCTCAGCGCGCAATAGAGCCGCAGCAGGACAGCGCCTTGCAAATTGAAATCCTTTAGCTCGGACGCACTGCTGGTAATCTGCAGGATCTTCTGCAACAGCTCGATCCGCACCAGATTCAGTGCATCGCCCTTGCGCTTCTGACTGGTGCGAATATACAGTGCAAACCAGGAGCGTAGGTTCTGATCGTTGCCCAGCAGCAAGCCCGTTAGGAAGGCGATCTGTGAATGATAGCAGATGGGATTAGGCTGCGGCTTGATTAGAGTTGGATGCTGTTACCAAATCCTCGGAATGCTTGAGTGCCAGCTTGAGCATAAACGATGGCACCTTCATCATGTCCACGCACATGGAGCGATTGGCCAGCGCTTGTGAGGGATTCATTTCGCTGAGCGACATCAACAGCGCCAGACGCTGTTTGCCCTCGGCACCCTCCTCATCACAATTGGCAATGACATGTGAGACCACATCCCGATAGCAGTCTGGAAAATTAGCCACCAATGCGCAAACGATGCGATATCCATTTGGTACATGAACCAGAGCATCCGTTAGCTCCAAGATGTTAAGCAGGGAGGGCAGCTCGGCGAGAGCAATGCATAGTATGTCCACCACTTCCTCCAAATAGATGCCATCATCAAGGATTTCAGAATGGCTCGACACGCCCACAGATGCGCCCGACGATGGCTTTTGCTCGGCAATCGCTGCAACCTGTTGCTGAAGATTGAAGATTTCGGATAGGACGACGCGGACTTTGCGTGCCACATCTGCACGCTCGAAGCCAAGAGCAATGCCCGACTGAAGACCGTATTCAGGCTGCGGCTGCGGCTGACCCTGTCCATCGAAAAAGTTGGTCACACTGCTCGTTTTCTGGCGTGTAAGCAATTCCTTCTTAAGATCGTTCTCCAGCTCGTGATAGTTGACCTGGAGATAGGAGACGATACTATTGACCACCTCGATGCCAATGAGTACGGCGAGTATCTGTTTACGTGACTCCATCGAAGATTCGGTATTGTCCAGTGGCGAAAGCAGGCTCATTCGCACTAACGACGGTAATACCGGTCGAATCTCGGTCTCCGGGTAGCTGGCGAGAGATGTTATATCCAGATTCTGCATGGCGCCAAATACACGGGCCGTCACATCGTACATCTTGACCGGCATCGCGACAGGCGCACCTGTTGTCAACTTAATGACAATTTTTTTTTTTCAGTTCGTCTATCTTATGGATGCGATTCTCCAGACAACCGAGGATTTAGATACTCTGACTCTGAAGCATCGATATTAGCAACTCTTATCGATATGTTTTTGATTATTTAGTCCTTTCGGTACAGCCTCTGTAATTCAGCAACAATCATTTGAAGAGGACTACGCGCACAGATCATACCAGGCAAACTGATCTCAAAGCAAAGTGTTTTGGAGTCTACCGGTGTGATCGTGCTATGCGTGTGCTGCCAACTTATTTTTTGTTTTTCTTCAATAAATGAACTATCGAGTCGTTATGTTGTGAGCGCGCTCGATACATTGCTGTATCGATATTTCGATGTTTTTCTTTTACTGATACACACATTTTCCATTCCGTATTCAGCAGTCACTTTTTTTTTTACTCGCGAGTGAAGTTCGACCGCAAAGAATAAATGTGAATAAAAATAAATATATCGTGAAGTATCTATATGAATTGTGTATTTTATGAATCAATTAGGGAAAATTGAACAGCAAGTTTGCCGAGTAGGTAAGTGAAAGTTTCTATCAGTGCAGTGCAATGCAAACAGGCGGCAAATATAAAAAATCAAATGTCGGAAAGAAGCATAAAAAATAGACCAACGCCCCAGTAGTGCTCAGTGCCGTGTGCCTCTAGTGAGACGAAGAAGCAGCAGCAGTAATAGTAGTATTGGTAGTATTTGTAGTTGTAGTAGCTGAGGAGTCGGAAAAAGTATCTCAAAGTCGAAATGTGGGCCAATTGGATGCAGTGTTAAATAACTGATATATAATCCATGTGTATACGTATGTATAGATACATGATCGAACCTACTTATATATCTATCTACATATGTATATGTATGCGTGTGAATACGTACATACATACATAATAAAAACATCATCGATTAAAATTGCCTGCCCCCGTCTATCGCAGTCGCAGTACGTTCGCTGCTGGCGTTGATGACATCATTCGGTGTTATTTTTTTTTTTCAGTTCGTTTAGTCTGTGCGATGTCAGAGCGTAGCGCAGGGTCGTGCGTGTGAGTGTATCTATGTGAGTTTGCGTGTGAATGTGTGAGTTTGTGTGCGTACTGCTCCGTTACTGGACGAATACGTGCGTGTAAACGAATATTTGAATTAACTCAAATCAAAACAAAGAAGTATGAGAATAAGGAAAATTGAATTAATTTCTATTAAAACAGCGAACTGAAAGAACTTGAATTACATTTGCGTCACCGCTCAATAAAAAGTGCGATAAAAGCAATATATTTAATCAAGATATACATATACATATGTACATTTAAAAAAATGTTTTTAATCATACACGGGCACACACACACATAAACGCATAGTATCTATCTCTTACTCCCTTTCTCGTCTTGCTACTTTTTATACTCTCACTCAAACACACGCACACACTAACAGCAGAATGCACTTTGAAATACAGTTACGTGCAACATACACACACATACACACGTAAACACACGGCCCATGTAAAAATAGGAAATCCTTCCAAGAGGTCACGAGTTGAATTTGAAGTTGTTTATCGATACATGGAAATGGGTGGAAAACAGAACGAGAAACTGTGCTGCACTTGTCCATATATGCTTTCAGTTTATATGTATATTATACATGTATAAATGTGTGTACGGTATTTGTGAGAGTGTGTTTGCGTTAAGGTTTGGCCCACCTTCTTAATGAACGCCGCTGTCGGCTGCCTTAAAAAAACAAAAATGACAAATCAACGGCCATAACTCAAATTGTACAGTTGTAAGGTAATAAGCACGTACTGATGTATATAAGTATGTACGTAAGTATGTGTGTGTGCATGTTAACTTGTGAGCTGGAGAAGCCTCATAATAAAAACAACAAAAAACAGGTTTTCCATATTGTAAGAAAAAAAACAAGCATATAATTAAACAATGAAGTTTTCACTGCTGTAATGGCTGCCCTGGTTAATTGAAATTGAACGTCGTCAATTGCACAACTCCAACGCCCCAGAAGAAAAACCGCGCCTCTTGCTTGCTAATCGAATCAATGTGATGAACTCACTTCCAGCAAGATCAACTGGAGACACAGAAACACACAGACACACGCACGCACAACAAAAGTAAATATGCGTTCATACTATGTACATATATGTTTGTGTGTATGCAATCATAATTGCAAAGCTGGTCGAGCTGAGTTCAAAACCTACCCCATTTGCTGGGCTTGCTGAATACGATGACAGCAAGTCGGCCTCCCACTCTCACTCCCTCCCGCAGTCGGTCGAGTCAGTTTGTTCTTCTTCTTCTTCGCTCTCATTAGCTCTCTTCGAGTTACACAGTTATGCTCTCACGCGCTCTCTTTGTGTGCGTGTGCCGCCTGTTTGTTTGTTTGTTTGTGTTGCGTTGGTGTGGTTGTCGTTCTTGTTGTTGTTCCTCTTTCGCTCTGTTTTCGTTGTGCTCGCTCTCTATCAGTCTTTACGGTCATCTCTCAGTCGCCTGTCGGCGGCGAGTTTTAAGCTTCGTTTTCGTTATAATCAGCAAAATATTACGTAATAGATAATAGAGCCGCGTGAATCTGAATGCGAATGTGTGCTATGCGCTCATAAATATGTATGTAAATAAAGATGTGTGCTAAATTCCCTATTGTTTTCGTTTTGTCGCTTTTTGTTAGTTTTATTGTTGTTGCAAAATTAGCTCATGCCCATTGAGAGCGTAAATTAAATCAGCGAGGCAACAGCATAGAAAAAATCAACATATTCGACTGCAATTTTTAAGAGTGATGTGTTAAATAGAAAGATAAAAACATAATTGCCCCAACTAATGTAAGCTCGTATCTATGTGTGTCTGTGTGTGTGTATACAGCATGAAGGGAATGACCTGCACAGCTTGGAATAAAGGTCAAAATACACTTGCCTGCATAGTTGTATCTTTGTGTGTGTGTATGTGTGCAGCGGTTCCCATAGGTATAGATAAAAAAAAAAGCCGCTCACACACGTATGCGTTTATGTGTATTGGTTTCATTTCTATTTTTTGGTCATGCCGATAGTTTTTTGAATTGAATTTCCTGCAATTTCACCAGCAAGCGATTTAAATCAGTGCGTCCCTCCCACTTTGTGTGACCGCCCACAACCTGTCACACTTTTTATTTTGTTTGAAAACGGGAATCAGAATTGGAATGAGAATCGCAGTGTGGATGGGGCGTGATGTAATCGCGTTAACTATAAAGCCAAAAAAATAATGAATAGACAAACAGAAATACACACACACACATACACATACATTTGCATCAGTGTAGCAACATACAGTAAGCGASAATTGTGATCGGACTTGTTAGCCAGTTGACCCAGGCGACCCGCGTGCCACTCAATGTGACGCCATTGTGTCTTATGAATCATCAAGAGAGAAAAGTGTATCGAGGGGAGGAAAGCGAAGTGAAAACCACCCACCCAGGCGTGAATGAATATATTTATACACATATGTATTTTTATGCAGAAAACTTTACCCAAACCTGAAGAGAAAAACGACAATAAAACTTTATTAACAATGGAAGTACAGCGAAAACTATTTCGAGTGAACATATGCATGAAAATAAAGCAAGAAACAGCTGTTTAAACGGAAATATTATAGTTTTATTTCTTGACTAATAAAAACAAAACATATTATGAAAGCTGTTATATTAGAATAAATGTAGATATAACAGTTTGTGTACTTAGAGAAAATGTTGAATTCATTAATTAGTTCTTGTAAATAAAAATTAAGAAGCTAATAACTAACAAGCTGCAAGCTGAGCTAATGGTAGTTAATTCAGCTGTCCATTAATAGGCTCCATTTTAGACTCGAGTGTTGCGGTTTTTTTTTAGAGCATTGCTAATCTAATCGAGTGAATAACTCACAAGGCAGCAGGCAGAACGTTGCTGTGTAGCCGAACCGACTGCGTAATACCCATTAGTATTACAATAGCAGTTGAAAGTATCAGTGGACAATTTAAGATCGGGCTGTGCTGTGGAACAATGATAGTCATTATCTTTTTTAAAGGAACGTTTATCTTGAAATAATTTTAAAAATATCGAAAAGAGTATTGTAAAATAATTTCATTAGCAATTCTTTTTAAAAGATTATATTTATCACTTATTTATTTTTACGTGCAAGCCCAAGATAAGAAAACATGGAAACAAGAAAGACAAAAAATGCAAAAGTATCGACAATGGAATAGACGAAATTATATATTATATTATATTTATATGTATATCTATCTATATCTCTATATTTTATATTTTCTTTTTTTTTCATTCTTTGCAGTTATTCTTTGAGGTTTATTTTCGGTTCGGAATTGGGGGGATACAAAATTGAATTCTTTGCGGTAGTGAGAATTGTGGACAATCTAAACAAGGAGAGCTGACAAAATGACGACGGACATTTCAATTGTTCGATGGGACCCCAGCCAGGGTCCAGGCAACGAATATATCGATGAATACGAATACGATGGCGGCAATTCCAGTTCGCGGCTATTTGAGAGGTCGCGCATCAAGGCCCTTGCCGAGGAGCGAGAGAGCGTACAGAAGAAGACGTTCACCAAATGGGTGAATTCGCATCTCTGCCGGGTCAATTGCCGCATTGCCGATCTCTATGTGGATATGCGGGACGGCAAGCATTTGATCAAGCTGCTGGAGGTTCTATCCGGCGAACGACTGCCCAAGCCCACCAAGGGCAAGATGCGTATACACTGCCTCGAGAATGTCGATAAGGCGCTTCAGTTTCTGCGAGAACAGCGCGTCCATCTGGAGAATATTGGCTCTCACGACATTGTCGATGGCAACGCCTCACTCAATCTCGGTCTCATTTGGACGATTATCTTGCGCTTCCAGGTATGTTATTTACAGTTCCAGTTTCGGTTCTAGTTGGATCCTGTTCCAATTACAGTACCAGTTATGTTAGGAAATGTAATTTAGTGAGTGCTGAGTTCTGTTAACAGTTCTGTTGATAATGATAATGAATTCATTTAACATTTAAATGTTTAAGTTAACAGTTGCTTTTAGTAAGCAGGATAAGGATGAGAAATGATAAATGTTAAATTAATTAAAGTCAGTTAATGTCAGATAATAACATATATTAACATATTAATGTTATGAATAGCAGTGATAACAGTTGAAGGCTAATTTAGCTGTCGAGAAGAAGAAGAATATCTTATGTAAGTTTACATAGCAGCGAAATAACTTCCACTAAATGTTAGTTATGCCAGCTGTTAAGTTTGTAACAGTAGATACTATTTAACATAAAATACACACTTTAGATTACAGTTCATAAACAGATAAAGTGTGAGAACCAATTGAAGATGAACTTGGGATTTTCATGTAGTTCTTTGCTTGAATTCTTAAATTTTCAACGACTAACTTTCGCTGGATAACTAGAAGGCTCTAATAGCGATATAGATATAAAATTGGTATTGTTATAATATGATCAGATCTGAACTTATTCTAGATGTAGAACAGATATATGCATAGTTACACCAGAACCATATCTCTAGCTCTAGATTCTTTATACTATATGAACAATTTGTATATTATGCTCGCAAATAGATTCAAGATATCACCATCGAGGAGGTGGACAACAAGGAGACAAAGTCAGCCAAGGATGCGCTGCTGCTGTGGTGCCAGATGAAGACCGCTGGCTATCACAATGTGAATGTGAGGAACTTTACGACCTCGTGGCGGGATGGATTGGCCTTCAATGCGATCATACACAAACACCGTCCAGATCTAGTGCAATTTGAGAAGCTATCGAAGACCAATGCCATACACAACCTAAACAATGCGTTCGATGTGGCCGAGGATAAGCTTGGATTGGCCAAGCTTCTGGACGCCGAGGATGTGTGCGTGGATCATCCGGATGAGAAGTCGATCATAACTTATGTGGTCACGTACTATCACTACTTCAGCAAGCTGAAGCAGGAGACGGTGCAGGGCAAGCGTATTGGCAAAGTGGTTGGCATTGCCATGGAGAACGATAAGATGATCCATGACTATGAGCACTTCACCAGCGATCTGCTGAAATGGATCGAAACGACAATACAATCGCTGGGTGAGCGCGAGTTCGAGAACTCCCTGGCCGGCGTCCAAGGTCAACTGGCGCAGTTCTCCAATTATCGCACCATCGAGAAGCCGCCCAAATTTGTGGAGAAGGGCAACCTGGAGGTATTGCTCTTCACGCTCCAATCCAAGATGCGAGCAAACAACCAGAAACCCTACACTCCCAAGGAGGGTAAAATGATATCGGACATCAACAAGGCCTGGGAGCGATTGGAGAAGGCCGAGCATGAGCGTGAGTTGGCGCTGCGCGAGGAACTGATCCGCCAAGAGAAACTTGAACAGCTGGCGGCACGCTTCGATCGCAAGGCTTCCATGCGTGAGACCTGGCTGTCAGAGAATCAGCGACTTGTTAGCCAGGATAACTTTGGCTTCGATCTGGCCGCTGTGGAGGCGGCTGCCAAGAAGCACGAAGCCATCGAAACAGACATCTTTGCATACGAGGAACGTGTCCAGGCCGTTGTCGCTGTTTGTGATGAACTGGAATCGGAGCGTTATCACGATGTCAAACGTATTCTGTTGCGCAAGGACAATGTCATGCGTTTGTGGACGTATCTATTGGAGCTGTTGCGTGCTCGTCGTATGCGTCTGGAGATCTCGCTGCAACTGCAGCAGAACTTCCAAGAGATGCTCTACATCCTGGACAATATGGAGGAAATCAAACAGCTGCTGATGACCGATGACTATGGCAAGCATTTGATGGGTGTCGAGGATCTGCTCCAGAAGCATTCGCTAGTTGAGGCCGACATCAATATATTGGGTGAGCGTGTCAAGGTCGTTGTGCAGAACTCACAGAAATTCCTCAGTGAGGATCCCGAATCGTACAAGCCTTGCGATCCCGAAATCATTGTCAGCCGTGTCCAGCAGCTGGAGGATGCGTATGCTGAGCTGGTGCGTCGTGCTGTTGAGCGTCGCAGCCATTTGGAGGAGAGCCGCAAGCTTTGGCAGTTCTACTGGGATACCGCCGATGAGGAGAACTGGATCAAGGAGAAGGAACAGATCGTCTCAACCGATGAGATCGGTCACGATTTGACCACGGTCAATCTGTTGCTGAGCAAGCACAAGGCACTCGAATCGGAGATCACATCGCATGATCCCCAACTCCAGAACGTGGCCAAGGTGGGTGCTGAGCTCATTACCGAAGGTCACTTGGGCGCCGATCGTATTAAGGATCGCCTCAAGGAGATTTTGTCCAAGTGGGATCATCTGCTCGACTTGACCAAGTATCGTCGCCAGCGACTGGAGAACGCTGTCGAATACTTCCAGCTGTTTGCCGATGCCGACGATGTGGACAACTGGATGCTGGACACGCTACGCATTGTCTCCAGCGAGGATGTCGGTCGCGATGAGGCTAACGTTCAGTCGCTGTTGAAGAAGCACAAGGATGTCGCCGATGAGCTGAAGAACTACGCCGAGGTTATTGACGCCCTGCACAAACAGGCCGAGACTCTGAAACTCAATGAGCCCGAGAAGGCGAATGTGGACAAGCGTCTGGAGGCAATCGATACACGCTACAAGGAGCTGACCGAGCTGGCCAAGCTGCGCAAACAGCGTCTCCTCGACGCACTCAGCTTGTACAAGCTGATGTCCGAGGCCGATGGTGTGGAGCAATGGATCAAGGAGAAGACCAAGATGTTGGACACCATGGTGCCTGGCAAGGATATCGAAGATGTGGAGATCATGAAGCATCGCTTCGAGGGCTTCGACAAGGAAATGAATGCCAATGCGTCACGTGTGGCCGTTGTCAATCAGCTCGCCCGCCAGCTGCTCCACGTCGAGCATCCCAATTCGGATGAGATTCTCGACCGCCAGAATCATCTCAACCAGGAGTGGTCGACACTGCGCGAAAAGGCCGAAGCTAAGATGGATGACTTGAAGTCCGCTCATGGTGTGCAGACCTTCTACATTGAGTGCCGCGAGACAATCTCGTGGATTGAGGACAAGAAGCGCATCCTTACCGAAACGGACAGCCTGGAGATGGACTTGACCGGAGTGATGACGCTACAGCGCCGTCTCAGCGGCATGGATCGCGATCTGGCTGCCATTCAGGCAAAACTGTCGAGCCTGGGCCGCGAAGCCGATAGCATTGAGGTGGAACATCCAGAGGAGGCCCAACTGATCCGTAACCGTATCGCACAAATTGAACTGATCTGGGAGCAGTTGACACAGATGCTGAAGGAGCGCGACTCCAAGCTGGAGGAGGCTGGCGACTTGCATCGCTTCCTGCGCGATCTGGATCACTTCCAGACTTGGTTGACCAAGACCCAAACAGATGTTGCTTCCGAAGATACGCCCACATCGCTGCCAGAGGCCGAGAAGCTGTTGAACCAGCATCAATCCATTCGCGAGGAAATCGACAACTATACCGAGGACTACAAATCCATGATGGAGTACGGTGAGCGCTTGACCTCCGAGGGCAATACGTCCGAGGATCCGCAGTATATGTTCTTGCGAGAGCGCTTGAACGCATTGAAGGACGGCTGGGAGGAGCTGCATCAGATGTGGGAGAATCGTCAAGTGTTGCTGTCGCAGAGTCTCGATCAGCAGCTCTTCAACCGGGATGCTCGCCAGACCGAGGTGCTGCTTAGCCAGCAGGAGCATTTCCTGAGCAAGGACGACACGCCGGTTAATCTAGAACAGGCCGAGAATCAATTGAAACGTCATGAAGCCTTCCTCACCACCATGGAGGCCAACGATGATAAGATCAATACGCTGCTCCAGGTGGCCGACACCCTTGTGGAGAAGGAGCACTTCGATGCGGAAAAGATTGGCAAGCGAGCGGAGAATATAACCGGACGTCGCGACGATAATCGCCAGCGGGCGCTTGATCAGCACGAGAAGCTAAAGAACCAGGTGAAATTGCACGAATTCTTGCAGGATCTGGAGGAATTGGCCGAGTGGGTGCAGGAGAAGTATGTCACATCGCAGGATGAGACCTACCGTAGCGCCAAGACCATTCACTCCAAATGGACAAGGCATCAGGCCTTCGAGGCTGAGATTGCTGCTAACAAGGAGCGCCTGTACGAGGCCGAGAAGTCCGCCCAGGAGCTGTCCAAGGAGAAGCCCGAGTTCAAGGATGTCATCGAGCCGAAACTTAAGGAGCTGGCTAAGCAATTCGATGACCTCGAGGTGCACACCAAGGAGAAGGGCGCCCTGCTCTTCGATGCCAATCGCGAGGTGCTGGTTCAGCAGACATGCGATGACATCGACTCCTACATTACAGATCTGGAGAAGCAGATCGTGAGCGGTGACACTGCCAACGATCTGACCTCTGTCAATATACTCATGCAGAAGCAACAGGTCATCCAGACCCAGATGGCGGTCAAGGCACGCCAAGTAGAAGAGATTGACAAGCAGACCGAATATCTGCAAAAGACAGTGCCCGAGGAGAAGATCGAACCGATTGTCGTCAAGAAGACGGCAGTGCTAGAGCGCTTCGAGAAGATCAAGGCGCCGTTGCTGGAGCGCCAGAAGCAGCTGGAGAAGAAGAAGGAGGCCTTCCAGTTCTGTCGCGATGTCGAGGATGAGAAACTCTGGATCAATGAAAAGCTGCCCGTGGCCAACTCCACAGATTATGGCAACTCTCTCTTCAATGTGCATGTTTTGAAGAAGAAGAACCAATCGCTGGCCACCGAAATCGATAACCACGAGCCACGCATCAATGCCATCTGCAACAATGGCCGCAAGCTGATCGATGAGGGTCACGAGGATGCAAAGAAATTCGAAGCCTTGATCAGCGACCTAACAGCCAAATGGCAGGAGCTGAAGGATGCGATCGAGAATCGCAAGCGTCATCTGCTCGAGTCGGAGAAGGTGCAGCAGTACTTCTTCGATGCCCAGGAGGCTGAGTCATGGATGAGCGAACAGGAGCTCTACATGATGGTCGAGGATCGCGGCAAGGACGAGATCAGTGCCCAAAATCTAATGAAGAAACACGAAAATCTTGAGCAATCCGTGGAGGACTATGCCAACACCATTCGTCAGCTAGGCGAGGTAGCACGCCAATTCAGCAGCGATGATGTATCCAGCGGTGATGCCGTTGCCGTTAAGCAGTCCCAGCTGGACAAGCTGTACGCAGGTCTCAAGGATCTGGCTGGCGAGCGTCGCGCTCGCTTGAATGAAGCGCTGCAGCTGTTCATGCTGAGCCGCGAGGTTGACGATCTAGAGCAATGGATTACCGATCGTGAGGTGGTTGCCGGCTCACAGGAACTTGGCCAGGATTATGATCATGTGACGCTACTCTCTGAGCGTTTCAATGAGTTTGCCCGTGACACCGAGGCGGTGGGAGGAGAACGCGTGGCCAAGGTCAATGGCATTGCGGATAATCTGATACAGGCTGGACATTCGGATTCGGCAACGATTGCCGAGTGGAAGGATAATCTGAACGAGTCGTGGCAGGATCTGTTGGAGCTGATTGAGACACGTACCCAGATGTTGGCCGCATCGCGGGAGTTGCACAAATTCTTCCATGACTGCAAAGATGTCCTGGGTCGCATACTCGAGAAGCAGCACGGCGTCTCCGATGAGCTGGGCCGTGATGCTGGCTCCGTGTCAACGTTGCAGCGTAAACACTACAACTTCCTGCAGGATCTGACAACTCTGTATTCGCAAGTGCAACAGATTCAGGAGGAATCTGCCAAGCTGCAGGATGCCTATGCCGGCGACAAGGCCAAGGAGATAACCAATCGGGAACAGGAAGTGCTCCATGCCTGGGACAACCTGCAGGCCATGTGCGATGCACGCAGACAAAAGTTGGCCGACACCGGCGATCTGTTCCGGTTCTTTAATATGGTGCGCATCCTCACCATCTGGATGGAGGATCTGGTGCGCCAGATGAACACTTCGGAGAAGCCGCGCGACGTATCCGGCGTCGAGCTGCTCATGAACAACCATCAGAGTCTAAAGGCCGAGATCGATACGCGCGAGGATAACTTCAGTGCGTGCATATCGCTCGGCAAGGAGCTGTTAACGCGCAATCATTATGCCTCCGCTGACATCAAGGATCGCCTGAAGCAGCTGAACAACAGTCGCAATGCCCTGCTCCTACGCTGGGAGGAACGTTGGGAGAATCTGCAATTGAGTAAGTCACGAACATGATCGAATCTGTTATCGAATGTGCCTAATCGAAATGTCCAAACTTTTCAGTTCTGGAGGTGTACCAGTTTGCCCGAGATGCTGCCGTTGCCGAGGCATGGCTTATCGCCCAAGAGCCATATCTGCTCTCCTCCGAGCTGGGACACACCATCGATGAGGTTGAGAATCTGATCAAAAAGCACGAAGCATTCGAAAAGTCAGCCGCCGCACAGGAGGAGCGCTTCAGCGCACTTGAGCGTTTGACAACAGTAAGCCATGACATTTGCTTGTCATTCGATTGCCATTGAGCTGTCGTTTGGACTGAATTTCATTTAGTTCTCATTCGACTGTCGTTCGACTCACATCAATATTCTAATCGTAAAATTTTTTCGTGCAGTTTGAGCTTAAGGAAATGAAACGGCGCCAAGAGAAAGCGGAGGAGGCTGAACGCCAGCGCATTAAGGAGGAACAGGAGGCTAAGGCCGCATCCGAGGCTGCAGAGTTGGCCAAGCGTGAGGCCGAGCGTCGCGATGATGTCGATGTGGGCGCTGGTGCCCATGACGAAGCAGGTAGGATTAGATGGGAATGGAAGCACACATAAACTCTTACCTCACCTGTCTATCTGTCTATTTAACATTCTTATTAACAATCTCTGATCTACGCTCGTATGTACGTACATAACCTCAATTAAAATCTGAATATTGCATCTCATTCACTCATGCTTACCATATATCTATCTACATATATTTATATGTATATAAATGTGTATGTTATGTATACATCAATTTTTTTTTTTTT